ATGGTGAAGGTAATCCCTGCACGGCCTGAGAGACCCAGAATGGCTCTTTAGCTGCGGCCTTTCAGACCCCATGTTCCTTGCCACCTTCCTCTTCTCATTCACTTATAGGTCAGTTTATCATTGATCCAGTATTTATGACGTCCCCACCATGTGCCTGGCATGGCCCTAGGTTGCATCTGGGGAGGCCAGCATGGCACAGGAGAAACAGCAAAGAACAGTGCCCAGTTGAGTGCGTTTATAGGACAGGACAGTGTCTCCCCAGCACAGTTTGTGCCAAGTTGTCACCAGTCGATAACAGATGGAGAAAATACAGGCCATGTGTTAAAATTTCCCATCAGTACACAGCAGCGGCCAAGCTTTCTTGGGAAGGACTTTTACTGTGGATGGACGGCCTTCCACTTTTGTGTGTCCCCCGCAGCCAGGTGTGGGGCCAAGCAGCTCACGCACGAGCGAGCTGTGGATGAATGGGGCTGGGTGGGCAGGGTCAGGCCTCCCGGAGAGGGAGTCTGAGATAGGTTTTAAAAGGACAGGAGTTTGTGCGCCTTGGTGGCTCAGTGGGTTAAAGCCTCTGCCTTTAGCTTGGGTCATGATCCTGGGGTCCTGGGATCAAGCCCCACATCGGGCTTTCTGTTCGGCAGGGAGCCTGCTTCCTCTTCTCTGTCTGCCTCACCACCTACTTGTGATCTCTATCTGTCAAATAAATAAAATCTTTAAAAAAAGAAAAAAAAAGGACAGGAGTTTTCTCCGTGTGGCAAGTATGGAGTGGGCCCCTCTACCCCAGGAAAGCCTCAGATGTAGGAAGAGTCTCGAGGGGGCACGGATAGGGAGCCACGGCTGGTCCCCGTGGAAGGAAGAAAAGGACCTGCCCTAGTCCACCCCATGAGACTATGACAGGGCAGCTGGGTTAGTCTCACCCTGGAGCCAGGTTCCCCACGCCGAGCCTCCCACTCTCTGCCCAGCCACCCTGCCCTGGCTGTGGTCCCCCTTGTGGAAGGCACTCAGCACCGCCGGCCCCATGCTAACCATGTCCTGGCCCCGTGGCAGGTGTTCAGCTCAGAGGGCGCCTGGCAGTGCGTGAGCGAGGCCCTGCAGATCCTCGGGGGCTCGGGCTACATGAGGGACTACCCGTATGAGCGCCTGCTGCGGGACAGCCGTATCCTGCTCATCTTCGAGGTGAGCCCTCCGACCCCCCACCAAGCGAGTTTATCGGTCTTTCCTTATGCTCACCTCCCAGGGTGGAGGGGAGGCCGAGGGGCCAAGCAAGCGCCCTTCCTACTGAGCCTGCGCTTCTGGTGGTGGGACGAGAAGAGGTCTCGCGGAGGCTTGGCTGTGCCTCCAGGGCTCACTCTGGGTCTGGCTTTCCTCCTCAGGATACTGAGGCAACTCAGCAGCGTCCTCTCCACAGGCTTCCCCAGCCCGGACACCCCCCTCTGATCGCTGCCACCCTCCGTGGGCTCACAGGCCTAAAGAGGAATTCAGTGTGGTGGGGTCAGTGGGGAGACCCTGGGTGGGGTCAGAAACGGGGGTTGGGGCCACAGAGAAGCCTTTGAGGAGCTTGGGGTCTAACCCAACGGCCTGAGTGGGGAATACCTGCGCGGTGAGGGCCTGAGCGGCACCTCCCCCGACAGTGGGCTGGGGTCTCAGGAAGCAAGTGCGCCTGGCCCTCGGGGGCAGAAACAACTGCGGCCTGGCCCAGGGGAAGGTAGTTTGGGCCAAGGACAGGGACGTGGAATGTGCCAGGCCCAGATAGGGCCTTACCTGCTGGCACTGGGTAGAACAAGCAAGTTTTTGTGGCAGCAGTGGCTGGTCCTGGTAGCGGGGAGCTGGGGCAGGTTCTAGGAGAGTTGATGGGGTGGGGGCAGAAGGTAGATGAGAAGGGGAGACAAGTAGCCAGGCTGTGGAGGTCCCTGACTGATAAGCAGAAGAATTTGGATCTTCCTATGCAGGCACTGGAAGCCGTCAGAGCCGGGCATGACTTGAATGCTTTGCCATTCTGGGAAATTCCCCAGGTCTGATGTTGGGGCGTGCGTTTTGCAGAGGCCAGGTGCCTGCAGCAGAAAAGAGGGGTTGACTTCAGAGGCTGTGGCGAGATGGATGGAGTGTTAGGATGGTCATAGGGAGTACAAGAGGCAGACCTGTAGACACGGCTTAGAGCCTGAGCAGCCGGGATGGTTTCTGAAGGGCACCTTCAGACTGCCTGCAGGCCTGGCTCCCCAACTGGGGTAAGGCCTCATGGCTGCTCTCACTCCTGGCATGCCCAGCACCGCCCGCCCCCTGCCCGGCATCCCAGCCCTGAAGTCCTCTTAGAGGCCTGACAGGATGTGATGTGACCAGCCTGAGGGCACAACAGGCAGTTTCCCAAGGGCATGGGGGACGTGTCGTGTCCCTGCTGCCCCAGGACTGCTGCTTCTGAGTCCCTTTCCCCCTCAGCCCTGTTGAATTTGGTCCTGACTGTGGGGGACAGAAGGTTTGAGGGCCATGGAGCCCTTTGTGTGAAACACATGCTCTGGGCTGGAGACTATGCAGGACAGGGCCCACCTTAGCCTGCAGGCCTCCAAGCTCTTCTCTCCCATGGGAGGCCCCTTCCCCTCAGCCTGGTTGAATTTGGTCCTGACCGGAGGTGGGGGGTTTGGGGATAATCCCAGGTGGTGAGCCGTGTGTGCAGGGACAGCAGCTAGGAGAGGTGGCCCTCTGGGTATGGCTGCGTGGCACTGGGGAGCAGCCAGCTCTCGACCTCTACAGCCAGTGGTTTCCCTGAGGAATATAGTGGCACCCACCCAGCATTCGCTGCACCTGGGCACCAGCACCCCTTCCTCCTGGGGAAGGTGGTTTCTCCCATCATAAAGAAGCCAGAGTGGAGGCTTATAGAAAGGAAGGACTCTTGCATCACTGGTCAGAGAGAGGTGGTAGATCCCGAGGCAGACCACAGCTGTCTGGCCAGGCCCCTGCTTGTCCCTGTGGGGGTGGTTGCCAGTCTGTTGCTGTCACCCTCTGGTCACAGCCCTGCTCCCAGGGTCACACTGCTTCCAATGTGGCAGCTTCCGTGGTACTGAGTGGGCAGTGGGGTAGCCTAGCCAGCTGCATGCACAGCACAGGGCCATCCCAGTGGGGCCAACATGACTTATCTTCTGGCCACAGGGAACCAACGAGATTCTCCGGATGTACATTGCCCTGACAGGCCTGCAGCACGCCGGCCGCATCCTGACTGCAAGGATCAAGTAGGTGGCAGCCCCGCCAGCCGCTCCTCAGGTCCCCTCTGCCCATCAGAGGTCCATCCTGGGGCAGCAAGGGCAGGGTGCTACCCTGTCCTGGGATGGGCGTCATGGAACCGTGCAGTGCTCAACTCAGACAGAGCCTGGCTGGAGGGAGGGAAAGAGGAGCCTTAAAAGCCGGGCTCCAGCGCTTGGCCTTCACCTGCAGGTGATCGGAGGGGCCGGCTGCCTCAGGAAGCCCTCACTGCTCTCCTCCCCTGGCAGCTCCCATCACCCACGCTGCAGGGAGCTTTGTTTTCAGAACCTAGGGAACGAGAGCTGTCCCTCCAACAGGCGCTGGGCTCCAGGGCTACCAACCAGAAGACCACTTTTCTTCTTGCACTCTCCTACTCCGCTTGACCCCCATCATGGGGCTGGAGCAATTAGAAATCGCTGCTCGCACCTGGCATGGGTTGCTCAGGGTGTTTTGCAGACTCCTTAACCCTGGAGCACCCCCGGGGTGGGGGTGGAGAACGCTCTGTGTGGCTCTACCTCAGAGACCAGCTGTTCTCTGACGGAGGTGGTGGGGTGGTCTCAGGCATCCAGCAGGCCCAGGGCCAGGTGAGACAGCACCTAGGTCCCGAGTTGGTCCCTTTAATGCCTTGGACAGTCAGAGGGAACAGGTGCTAAGAGGAACGCTGTTGCTGGGCATTGGGAACCAGCACTGGGGCCTGAGTTCATGGGGCCATGGGCTTTCTGCAGAGAGCTTAAACGGGGCAACGTGACCACTGTCATTGAGACCGTTGGCCGAAGGCTGCGAGACTCCCTGGGCCGAACTGTGGATCTGGGGTTGACAGGGAAGCTGGGAGCGGTGCACCCCAGTGTCGCAGTGAGTGGGGACAGGTGGCATTACCTCCCTGCCCCTGTGTGGGTATCACCTTCTAGAGGACTGTGACCAGGGCATTGGGGAGGATGGTCCAGCCTAAAAACAGAGCCTGGGCCCCAGAGCCCCAGCTGGGTGGGATGGGCACCACAGGGAAGTAGCACTAAGTGGTCTTTCCCCTGGCATACTAGGACAGTGCCAACAAGCTCGAGGAGAACGTGTATTACTTCGGCCGCACTGTAGAGACATTGCTACTCCGCTTTGGCAAGGTACCCTGGCCCCTGCCACATATGGGGATGGCTGGCCCTCCAACTTTGGGGTCAGGGAGATGGGGTGTTTTGCCAGGTGTCCACCTTTGGGACCAGGCTTAGAAAGAGATCTTGGTCACTGTGGAGGGGTAGGGTGGAACTGCCTGTCCCAGGGGCCACTTGGGTGGTGCCTTCTCAGTAAAGGGAGGTTCCTTGGAGTAGGGAGGGCAGCCCCTATCTGGGCCCAGATCTAGGGCCCCGCTCTGTGAGGCTGTTGCTGCTGAGGGTGACATGAAGCACAGTAAGCAACAGCCTGTGGCCTCAGCCAGGTTTCTGGGACCTGGTCTTGGCTTGACCCATGCCCGAATCTAGACAGAAGGGAAAACAGGCAGCCGGCAAACCAGCCTCTCACCACCCAAAGGGAGAGGCAGTGTTAGCTTCTTTTACTTTCTACTTTCTAAGACTCATGAAGTGAGTCTTCGAGATGGCTGAAGCTGTGCCCAGGGAGGGAAGGTCCTGGGTTGTGAGTCTCCCCGTGGGCTCTGTGTTCACAGACCATCGTGGAGGAGCAGATGGTCCTGAAGCGGGTAGCCAACATCCTCATAAACCTGTACGGCATGACGGCTGTGCTGTCGAGGGCCAGCCGTTCCATCCGAGTGGGGATCCGCAACCACGACCACGAGGTGAGCCTTGTGCCAGCTCTGTCCTCTGAACTTTAATGAGGCCTGTGGTTGAGGGAAGGGGTCAGTGGGCGGCATGGCCCAGTCGGGACAAGGAACTGGGCAAGTCAAGGGCCTCAACCCAGGCATGGGCCCAGGCCGCCAGCGGGTTTGCTGAGTTGTGGCCATGGCCAGCACTGGTGGTCCGTTCCAATGAGAAGGTCTGTGCTACTCAGGACACAGGGCCACTCACTTTCGTCTTTCTGCCTGCGGGAAGAGGGATAGGTGAGTAATGGGATCCCAAAGTTTGTGCGCTCACCCCATCTGCCTTCCTTACCCTCAGCGGCTGGAATGCAGTCCCTGAGTGCCTCTTGTGTGCTGGGTCTCGACATGCATTGTCCCACAACAGCCTCTCTTACGTTGGCCTTCCTGCCACAGAGGAACCTGAGGCTCACAAATGTTGAATAATTTGCTTTTGGGGACAGAGCTGGTTGAGTCAGGGATGGAATTAGAACCTAAGACTCTGATTCCTGCGCCAGACCTTTTGACCTCGGCCACCAAGCTGCTGAGTTTGGCTGAGTTTCTCACACACCAGGGAGGGGGTGCCCTAGGTCATCATCTTCAACCTTGGTTCTGACAGGTTCTGCTGGCCAACATCTTCTGTGCAGAAGCTTATTACCAGAATCTCTTCACCCTGTCCCAGCTGGACAAGTGTAAGTAGTGTGGCCTTGCGGTGGGGACGGGGGGAGCGCTGAGTGCAGGTGCCTGTTGACAGCCAGGCTCCCAGGGCCTGCTGGCTGCTCACAAACCTCTCCCTTGAGTGAGGGCTAGTAAGGTCAGGTTCACCTGCAGGATGGCCTGCCAGACAGTAACATGTACCTGCGGATGAAAACTGTCAGAGCCCACAGGCGTGGCCCAGCCTGCCTGACCCGTCTGGCAGCTGCCCTCCTAGCAGACAGCCCAGGCTTTGGCTCTAGTCCGTGCAGGGGCTTGGCTCCTGGGGCTGTTCGTACCGTAGTCACTTCGCCATGTCTGAAAACGTCCGGCTGAGATTCTTCTGACCTTTACAGTCGTTTTGGCCTCAGGGCTCCGTGTCCTGTGTCCCCTGCTGTAGAGCGCAGCCACGTTGCCAAGTGATGGGAGGAGAGGAGCACATAATTCCGCGCAGCTCCTGGCTCCGGGTGCTGGCATGTGTTGGTCCATGCTGTGGCGGGGAGACGGGGTTGCTCCTCTCGTAGGCTTGACTGGCAAGAAGGTCCTTCTCCAGGCCCTGCTCCCACAGGATCCAGAGTTTTTAGGGGTTAACACGATGAGCCCTTCATTTTCCAGAATGAAGCCCTAGCCCTGTTTCTCCCTGCAGCCAGAATCACTTTCTGGGACTGTGGAAGTGGAGAGTTACCTTCAGGGTTCCTTCACAGTGGGTGTGGGCTTTTTCTTTCTTTTTTTTTAAGCAGCAGCAGCCCCAGCATTATTTGTTCTCACAAACCTATTTTTTTTTCCTCCCAGATTCTCCAGAAAATCTAGATGAGCAGATTAAGAAGGTATCCCAGCAGGTCCTAGAGAAGCAGGCCTACATTTGTGCCCACCCTCTGGACAGGACATCCTGAAGCAAACCAACAGTGTTCCCTGCTGCCCCCAATCCATGGCCAATCGATGGAAAACTTTCTCTGGCAGATGGAGCACTGGGGTTTTTTCTTCCCCATGTATACCAGAGGGGCCTTCTGACCTGAGGGTACCTCTTTAGGCTTTGCCCTGGGGGCACTGCTGCTTGACCTGGTCCCAGGTTCTAAAAAGAGCGAAAGAGAGAACACAGTTGGTGACACCTGGGATTTGAGGGGCTTCCGCTAGTTTCAGAGACGTCACAGTGGCGACGGGCTGTGGCACTGTCTCTGTGGGAGGAGTTTGGCAGGGACCTGTTTGAGGCATGGAGAGCCGCTTCTGCTAGGCCGCACGTTCCTCTTGTAGACTGTGCATTCTCCAAGAAACAGCCTACAAACTGTAGGTGGAATAGATGCACTTAATAACAAAAGATATAAAATGCACGGTTTGTGTTTATCCTTTTAGCCTTTGTGCTGTACTGATCCTATTTTTCTTCAGAACCCCAAGGCCCTCCCTCTGGTGATGGCCTCCAGTGCGTTCTGTCCTCACCCTGCAGGAAGAGGGTCCTGAGTGCTGAGGACCAGGTGCCCAAGCCAGGCCACAGTGTCCTGGGGATTACTGAGCCCGTCTCTGGTCTTTCTTAGGTGATGGGTACAAATTACATGGTCTGGTACATGACAGCATACGCTCTTTCTGCCTGGGGCCTTTCTCTGCACAATCTGTACAGAGCTTGGCCTTCATTCCTGAAAGTGGGGACAGCGCAGAATCGTGAGGTGATACTAATAGGTCTTTGCATTTTTCTGGACTCCTTTCTGCTCTTGCTTGCCAGATACAGTGGGTCCCAGTGTGCTCACGCAGGCAAGCTTGGAGCTTTTGTCTGGATTCGGAGCCATTTGGGGCTCCAGAAAACTCACCACAGATGTTGTCTTGAGGTGGGAGGGGAAGGCCAGACTCTTTCCTTTCCCTTCAAGTACAGTCTATCTGGTGCGCAGACACCTCGGCTGGCCTCGGCACTTTGCCAGGGACTGGATAACTGATCTTCAAAAGGTAAAAGTTGACAAATCTTATGACATCAGAGCTAACCTTCTTAAGTATTTTGTTGGCAAGAAAAGTACGAATCTGGGACGGTACAGGGACCAGAGGCTACATAGAGTGCCTTTGCCAAGGAAACTTGGGAAGCAGCTCTCTAGCCCCCACGTCCTGGGAAAGGGGACTTTGCCGTAGGCCCTGTGGAATGGGCACCCCTGTCAGCAGCTGGTTTTCTCTTCATCTAGCTGAGTTTCAAAGGCTGAGACCCCTGGTTCACATCTTGTTTCCCAGCGGCCATTTTCGAGTTTTCTTTAAGCATGGTGGGGAGGAGAGGCCCCGGCTGCCAGACGTGCCCAGGGAGCGTGGGCTGGGAAGGCCTGCAGGGAGCCCAGCGGCAGCACTCAGGCCAAAGAGGCAAGCCTGGCATTACTAGGCCGGGCCACCCCAACAGGTAACAGGAGAGTTTCAGGCAGCCCCAGAGCCCAGAGCCTGTTCTGAAGGGAGGCAGCAAGGGCCAGCAGATGGAGCAGAGGGGACAAATTTCAGCAGCTTGTCGGCATTTCCTCCTGCTTCATGGAACTGTTACCAACCTCGGGGGTTGGGGGAGGAAGGAAATCCATTTGTTTATCTGCTCTGGCTTTCAGGGAATGGTTTCTCTGGCAAACCTTGTCACTAAATTCTTTGTCCCTGAATGAAGTTTCTGGTAATCAGCAAATTTGGGTTCTCTGTCAATCTATAAATAGAGACCCATCTTTATAAACAGAAGGCTAAAGGGACCCATGCTTCTAGACTCCCTCCCTCTCACACAGAGGGCGATGGCAACATCATGGAGCAGGAAGGGAGTCAGAAGGTCCCAGAGGTGCCCAGAGCCTCTGCCCCAGCTGCTGGCCAGGCATCTAGACATCTTGCCTGTTGAGGCCCAGAAAGCCCTTAGACCGATTTCCCCACTTACATGTTTTATAGCTAAGAAGCCAGGCCCAGAGGGGCCCCCTGGCTGGCTCAGTTGTGTAAGTGGCTGGGCTCTTGTTTATGGCTCAGGTCCCAGGTTTGGGCCCTGTGTCAGACTCCGCGCTCAGAGAGGCTGGAGGATTTTCTCCCTCCCCCTCTGCCCTGCCCCCGCTTGCATGTGCACTCTTCTCAGAGCATCTGCTGTGGTGCCAGAGACCAGGAGCAGTGAAGGGACTCACCCGTCACACAGCAAGTTAGTACTGCAGCTCCAGCTAGAATCCAGGGCTCCGAGTCCCAGCCCAGCACATTAATACCTGCCCCATTCTGACTCAACTTCCTAGCCTTAGCGAAAACGAAAAGGCCAGGACGCCAAGCCGCAGAGACCCTGACTGCCCTCGTCAGGACGCTCCGCCTTGCAGGGGCCTCTGTTACCTGTCGCAGGCCTCGGTGCTGGAGGAGGGGGCAGCTCCAGGAAAAGTGGGGGCTGCCTATACAGGTCGAAGTCCTGGTGGCGCCGGTCCCAGCCCCACCGCTCTCGATCCAGCATGGCAGCAAACCCGGCATTTTCCCTCCACTCCTACATGGAGAACACCACAGTAAGTAAGGAGGGAGGTCCCCGTGGACACTCCACCTGAGCCCCCACTCTGCCCCGTGGACCTCTTTTAGCTCTGGGACGGTGCCGATGGGCAGCAGCCTCAGGTGACAGTCACTTTCCGGGCTTCTGTGAAGACCTGTCAATTGGAATCCATTGGCTGTGAGCCAGGCCTGGCGGGATCTCTTCTTGGCTCTCTTCTCCTCCTCCTCAGAGTCTTGAGGCTCCACCATGGCCGAGAGGTACTTCTGGGAGTATGTGAATCTCTTCCTTGGCTCCTGCAAACGAGGGGCAGACACGAAGAGGGAAGGGCTGGTAGCAGCCACCGCTGTGGTGGACTGGCCCTCCAGTCTCCAAGCAAACACTGGAAACGGTGGCACATGGGAGTGGAATGACCGTTCCTGACCGCATAACTAGACCGTTCAGAATAACTGAACTGGGGGTCATGTTCGTGTTCTCTTCAACAGAGGAGCCCTTCTCCAGAGCTAATGCGTTAGAAGCCTAAGCTGAAGTATTTCCTTCGGGGTGACAGCAATGAGCTGCTTTCTAGAGGTCGGGGCCTTGCAGGTGTTTGCAGCTGGGTACACGGGAGCCTATGCTAAGCATCTCTCAGCTCTCCCTTGTGTGTGGGGGATTCCCACAGGGTGTGGAAACGGAACACCTCTCCCCCTAGCACCTGGTCTCCTTCCTCTTGCTGCTTGGCTTTCTGGTGCACGCCAGAGCGCCCCTGCTGCCTCCTATGTTCAGATGAGGAGCGAGCTCCCTGGATTAGCCAGTTACTGTTCTGTCTGGAGTATAAGCACGGACTGTCTGCCTCCCTACCTGGGCCTTGCACTCACCTTGGCCATCTCTCGATACAGCTCCTTCTTAGCAAGCTCTGTGGAATTCAGGGTCTGGATACTGTAGTTATAAACCGCGTCTTTGGCCGGGGCTGAAATTCGGATCACCTTCACCACAGACTTTGAAGGCTTCTTGCCAAGCTGGTAGGCTCCAGTAATATTTTTCTGAGGAAAGAGACACCAGTCATTACACACAGACCCCTCAACGCCAGCTGCCGGCTTGCGGTGAGCAAGGTGATCTGTGGGGCACGGCCGCGGTGTGCAGGGATCACGTCTCGAGCTCTGGAGCTGCTGTGCCATCACAGAACCTACCAAAAGGTTCCCATTTCTGGCCCTGTCCAACGTGGCGGGCAGGGCCAGAAATGGGATTTGCCTAAGGCCAAAGTAACTGGAATTCACAACACTGGCCACAGATAGAATTTGGGGCTTCGATGGTCAGAAGTGGGAGATGCTTCATGCTTCTGTGGATATACAGGGGAGATGGCGACCTCAAGCAGTAAGAACTACCCTCCCTGCCCACAGTCAGCTTGTAGTGCTGACTACACGGGAAGTATCACCTTCTTTCCAGAGCCCCCAAGACGGTCTGTCAGCTTCCTTTGTGAATGAAAGCTGCAGTGAAGGGAGAGGACAGAAGGTGGCCGGGACCCCAAAGAGGAGGAGTTGCATTCTTAAGCACTGTGCAGTGTTGCTTGCCCGCCACTTGCCTATTAACCTTCAGCAAAATCACCATCTTTTGCTTTGGGAAAAAAAAAAATTTTTTTTACCCGAAGATGGTGACCTTGACTCACATTAACCACGTCTTTAGGCCAAACCCAAGTGTCTTGACTTTGTAATCTTTGAGGAATTTCTGTAAGAGAATGCAAAATAATCAAGGAAAAGATTCAAAAATCTGTGATTCACACACAGGAGAGAAAAGTCAAGGCAACAAGTCAAGGCAGTTTGAGAGCAACAGGGTCTGGAGGCAGAGGCAGGCCACAGGACCTTGGATGAGGGACAGGACTCCTGCCGTGGAGCCCCGTCAAGAGGACTATGCCAGAGGGGCCATCTATGCTGGCACACAGACCTTCAGTCAGAGCAGTGAGTATTCTGTCCAGTTTTTCTGGTTGTTCTCAATTCAGGGGTAGGGGAGTCTGAATGAGCCAGTCTCCCTTCATAATAAGTGCAAGTCCCCTGCTCCTTCCAAACCTTAGAGCTAGAGCAGTACGACTGAGAGAGACCGATTTCTCCTTTCATGGTACTTACTCCTTAGAGTTTAAAATGGACATTCTGACCAAAAGAGACCACGTGGTGAGGTGAGAACAGTGGTCCACGGTTGTTCCGGACACCCGGGATTCCCGGCCCTGGGACTGAAGGCTGCAGGGAAATTTGGACTCGCAGTCAAAGGAACTAGATGCCTGAGAAGTAGAACCAGCATAAAAGACCACAGACGCAAACTGAACGGAAGCCAAGCTGTTGGAAGAGATGGGATAAAAATTCAAGGCAAATGTAATAATCAGTCTTAAAAGCAGCAGACTAAAGAAACAAACAGTGCATGTAAAACACCAAAGTTGAAATAAAGGACACAAGCAAGCGAGACACCCTGCAGAAGTGGGGCAGCTGTAGAAGGAATGAGTAAACTGGAAACGAGCTTGAGATAAAATTAGCCTGAGTTCAGAGATTGGGAACCGAAGTGGAAACAATCCAAATAACAGAAGTTGCGAAAGGAAAGGGAAAGCAGTAGGAAATTTTAAGAAAGAAGGAGCCTCAGAGAAGAGAACAAAAATTCCAAGCCTGGGCACACTGTTAATGACAGGTAAGACCACAAAGGTAAAGACAAACTCTGAAAACTGCCAGAGAAAGAGCAGGCCACCTGTGCAGGTAAAAGTACCAGACTGGCCTCCAATTCCACAGCAGCAGAACTGTGAACAAGCACTTGAACTTAAGACTGTACACCCAGACGAGACGGCCCTTCCATTGACAGCAGTGTGTCAGGTGTACGAGGCTTTTAGGTTTACACAGAGACTTTCCTGGAAAATACACTTGGGAAAAAGTCCAAAAGGGATGAGGAAAACCCAGGAGTATTTGGACAAAGGTAGCAAGTGATGGTGTCCAGTATCCTAGTGGTTTCCTTGTCTTAAAGGGACATGGAAAGTATAATGATCTAGAACTGAAATTGGAGACTGAATATATAAAAAGGACAGTAGGGTGTGAGTAGGAAAAGATAAAAAGGGGTATAAGTGTGCTATTGGTCTTATAAAGGAAATTTAATATAAAAATTCTCAGAATTCAGTAGGAATATATAAAAATGAATATGGTCTTTAGGACAACCACTTTAGAAACAAGATAAACTTTTAAATCAGAAAAAAAAACAAAAACAAAAACAAAAACCCTACCCTGTCAAAAGAAACAAACAGGAGAAATTTAAAAGAAAATGAGGTGGTCCCTCAAGCCCAACCTAACAATATTCTCAGTAAACGGGTTGTTTGCCAATTAACAAACCTCCGATTTTTTTTTTTTAAGCTAAGAATATGTTGTCTACAAAAACTGCTTTAGGGGCGCCTAACTGGCTCAGTCGGTAGAACATGCGACCCTTGATCTCAGGGTCATGAGTTCAAGCCCCATAGTGAGTGTAGAGAGGACTTACAAAAGAAATCTTTTAAAAACAGCTTTAGACAAAAAGATAACAGGGTTGGAATTAAAGGGAGGAAGAATATAAAGTAGGCAAAAAGGAATCACAAAGCCAAGACATAAACGCGGTATTCTTAATATCAGAGCACATAGTTCAAGATAAAAATCTATCAAGAGGTACAAACAGACATTGTATGTTGAGAAAGAGCAAGAAGGTGTCACTGTCAATGAACATCTATGCACCTAACAATGTGGTCTCAAAATATATTAAGCAATAGCTGACAGCATTGCAGAGAGAAATGGACATCTGCTTGACATCACAGGAGAGCAAGCACTCGGGATTTGAGGGGCCAAGAATCTGGAGAAAAGAACCGAATCCTTTTTTCCTCCAGTACAGTTTGTTCTCAAGGTATTTGCTGATTCCTGAATTGCCAATGAATGAAACAAATGAGGCAGATAAAAAGAACCCAAGCAGAAAAAGCAGCTAAGAGGCTCAGATGTTAATCAGATAATATGGGAACATGTCACCATACTAGGGAAACAAAAATTGGATTTCACAGTGTGCCAGGGAGGAAGGCCCATGGTTACACCCTAAGCTTATAGTTCAGAATTCAAGAAAATCTATGCTTTAGAAATATGGGCAAAGAAGGGATAAACCTGTTTAGGAGAGTTTGTCCTTTGTCTTGCCAGAAGATAATTAAATCCTCTCTGGTGGAAGATTTCGGGAGCCTCCACAATTTTTCCTGTGCAGTGTTCAGCATTTAGGAAATACCCCGAGACAATCTACTGATTCAATACAGTCCCTATCCAAATTCCAATGGCATTTTTCACAGAAATAGAACAATTGTAAAATTTTTATAGAACCACAAAAGACCTGGAATAGCCAAAGCAGTCTTCAGAAAGAACAAAACTGGAGGCATCATTTCCTGATTCAGCTATATTGCAAAGCTATAGTAATCAGAACAGTGCAGTACTGGCATAAAAACAGACACATAGGTCAATGGAAGGAACAGAGAGCCCAATAAAACCACATATATACGGTGTATAACAAAGGAACCAATAATATACGATGGAGAGAAAGGACAGTCTTTTCAATAAATGGTGCTGGGAAAATAGGTCACATACCAAAAAAATGCAGTTGGACCACTATTGTATGCCATACACAAACATTTTAACTCAAAATGTATTAAAGACTTGAACTTAAGACCTGAAACCACAAAGTTCCTAGAAGAAAACAGTAGGTAGTTTGCTCCTTGACATCAGTCTCAGCAGTGATTTTTTTTTTTTTTCTGGATTTGACAACAAAAGCAAAAATAAAGAGGTGGGACTACATCAAACTAAAAACTTGTATCCAGCAAAGGAACCGATCAACCAAATGAAAGGCCAACTTACTGAATGGGAGACAGCATTTACAAGTGGTATAACCAATAAGGGGCTTGTACCAAAATAAAGAACTAGGACTCAACAGCAAAAACCAAAAAACAACAAAACACACCTGATTAAAAAATGGGCAGAGGAATGTGAATAGGCATTTTTCCAGAGAAGAGATACAAATGGCCAACAGGTAAGTGAAAAAGTGCTTAACATCATTAATCATCATGGAAATGGAAATCAAAACCACAAAGAGATTTCACCTCACACTTGTTAGAACAACTGTTATTAAAAAGACAAGAAATAACAGGTGTGGACAAGGAGAAAATGGAACACGTGTGCACTCTTGGTAGGAATGTAAATTGCTGCAGCCACTATGGAAATAGTAAGGGTCCTCAAAAGTATAAAAATAGGAATACCATGTGATTGAGCAATTCCACTTCTGGGTGTTTATCTGCAGGAAATAAGAACACTAACTCAAAAAGGTACATGCACCCCCATGTTCACTGCAGCATTATTTATGACAGGCAAGACATGGAAGAAACCTATGCGTCTGTCAATGGATGAATGGACAAATGAGATGGGAGGGTGTGTGCATGCATGTGCGCACACGTGTGTGTACATAGTGCAAAGAAATCTTGCCTTCTGTGACAATATGGATGGTCTTTGAGGGCATAATGCTAAATGAAATTAGAGAAATACAAATATTGAGTGACCTCACTTATTTGTGGAATCTAAAAAATACGAACTCCTAGATACACAACAGATAGGTGGTTGCTAGAGGTGGGGGCAGGGAGTGAAATGGATAAATGTAGTCAAAGGTACAAACTCCAGTTATACAATAAGTAAATCACAGTATGTCATATATAGCATGGTAACTATAGTTAATGGGGCTGTATTGTATATTTGAAAGTTACTAAGAAAGTAGATCTCAAGATAGAAGTTAATTGGGAAGAAGCATGGTACTTTCTAGGTTGATGGAATCATCTACACCCTGATGTGTGTAATGGTTTCATAGGTATGTACATAGATAAAAATGAAGGAGGCTGTATACCTAAGATTCATACAGCTTACTGTATTTAACACTTACATCTAAAAAGTGATACCAGAGACAAAAGGACCTATCATATTTATAAAAGAAATCAACAGGCTAAGGCAGTCTGAAATTTGTATATATTTAAAACATA